AATTAAAAAATTACACAAAAAAAATGAGGAATTTCAAATAGTTAATTTGATACTAATATCGATATATTTTTGTCAAATTTTTATGATATCTTCAAAAATATATTTTATTCAAAAATAAAAACATCATCGCTTTCTTAAAATCACATAAAGTCGTATTATAACATCGACTGAGATAAAGAAGAAAAATGAAATATTAAAATCACGATGTATTTCGTTGCATTGCGCGAGTACGCTTCTAGTCTTATCTAATGCATATTGGTAAAGATCAAGAATTTTACCCGGTAAGAGCAAAAGCAAGGATCGAGAGTCTTACCAGGTAAGTATGGGCGTCGAATCTTATTACGGTTAGCGCTTACTGGATAAGTTGTTGCATACAATACAGTTTTGATGGACTCAAATCATACCCGGTAAGTAAGTGACATAGTTAACTTTACCGGTAAACACTTACTTGGGTAAACGTCGGTAAATATCCCCTTAGTCTTCAAATGGGACCCACAGATAATGTGTTTGTCTTAAACTTAAATTTATCCTTAATTAGTTCATTAATTTTTATTTAATCGTCATTTTAATGGACTTGGAGAAACACGACGATAAATAAAAAAAATATTTATGATATATAAAAGTCATATTTTTGGATGTAACATAAATTAATTCTGAATTTGGAAAATATATATTGTAGAACCCAAAGTTCAAAACAGTGATCTGTCCCAATACGTTTGGATTCAACTTAAAATTATAACAGAAGTTATTGGTAACCCACAACCTGAGGTATATGAAATTCCTAACGTATTTGTCAGGCTTGTCTAGAATTTTTCTTCTTGTAATTAACGATGTGAGATTCACCTAAGATGTTATGAACACCCCCTCGAGGACTCATCATACCCGGTGATGTTTGGCTTACCATCTGAGATTCCGATGGTACAAGTATTGGCTCTGATACTATTGTAACACTCAAAGCTCAAAGGAACAAACTGAACTAATAACTTTCACCATGGTTTTAAGTTAGATTTGAAATTATTGGACCAACCTGTTGCTTTAGGTGTCACATACACTCACGTATTTCAAAATTATGTTGATATGAATAGATATACAATTATTGAGTTGATCGTAAATATGGATAAGAACGTGACTTTTGAATTTCCATCACACAAAATATGATTTATAATATCTAAATACAGATAATTGTCAAACCAATACAAATCACAATATTTAAATAATTAAATTCTATATTCATTTAACAACGACGTACATTTTAATTTATTTTTTATCCCCGAGTTTCTAATAATAGATAATTATCCCGTCATTTCATAAGATCTAGATATTGTATATTACAATCTAATCAGGAATAATGCATCCACAATCGTATATAAAGCAATAGTAATCAAATATACAAAGCAAATATCAAACAAGAGTGATTGAGATTGTCTGATTTAACATGGTTCCATTCTCGAGGTGATAGTGTACTGTACATCTACAGGAAGAGATAGCGATTGATATGTTACTAAAAACTGGATCCCCACGATCTCCTTGTTGCGTTGAAGGTCGTCGGCGTCCCGTGTGAGGGGTCTTGCAACCCACATATGGGACACATGGTGCCTGCCACTAAGACCTCCTGAAAACACGAGACATTTTCATCAATGTTTAATTTTTTTTTATTAACATGGATATTCAACCCACTATGTAAACAGACTAATCCCAGGGCGACTACACCTGGAGTCACTGTATTTGAACCTACGTGGCCACAAGGGGATTTTTATTCCTCCTTGAATTTGAACCTGAGACCTCCTGGTACTTTTGACCTTTGGAGCCAAGCTCAAATCAATCAGACACCATCCTTGTGGTTAATGTTCAATTTTTTTACCGAAAAGGTAACAAATCCGTGTCGACGAAAACCCCCTTTCAGAATAACATCGATCGTAAATTGTCGAAAAGCAAAATATACAAGCACCAGAAGGCAAAATTACATACACTTGACAAAAACAAATTAAGACTTGTTCCATTCAGGAATAGCTAGTAATTATCATAGTCTTCATTCGTGGTATTGATTTCAATATTAATATTTCCACCATCACCGCCGTATCCACCACCGTCTCCTCCACCACCATCAGTAAGACCTTGGACCAAATCCTGGCCTAGCTGCTGCATCATACCTTCAACAAATCCTGTCACCATAGCATTTCCCAATCCATTAGCAAGTCCATTATTCTGAGCCGCCATAGCAGGTTGTGGCTGCACCTGGTAAGTTTGAACACCAACAGGTGCCGGTGCCGGTGGCTGTGACGGACGTTGGTAACTTTGAACACCCACAGGTGGCGGTGGTGGTGGCTGTGAGGGACCCTGGTAACTTTGAACGCCCACAGGTGGCGGTGGCTGTGAGGGATGCTGGTAACTTTGAACACCCGCAGGGGGAGGTGGCGGTGGCTGTGACGGACGCTGGTAGTTTTGAACACCAACAGGTCCAGTAGGCTGTGGTTGTTGCCAGTAACCTTGAACATGATGACCAGTGCTCATGCTATGCACAAGTGGTTGTGCCGCCATCGGAGCGGTGACGGCGGATTGATTCGGAAGCGAATGATGGTGTTGTAGAGGCGGCGGTTTGGCAGTGGCACAGTGTAAGTGAGCATCAAACTCACAAGAAACACAGCGGTAGTGCCACTGGTGACCAGAGCCTACATTCCGGCACAAATCACACGAGAATCCCAACTTGTCACCATAGGGAGAAGAGAAGGTAAGGTGAAGAGGGTGAGGGTGGGAAGGGTTGGTGACCGAAAGGGGTTTGGACGCACAGAGAACATGAAGATCGAAATCACAGATTTGGCAATGGTAACTGAAGCGATTTCCTTGTTGAGTACAAGCATCACAGCGAAAGAAACCACCTGGGTAGATGCAGGATGGGAGGAGCGAGAGGGTGTGTTGGGGGTGAGATGGGTGGGTGATCAACTCAGGGAACTTAGAACATGATGGATGCAAGAAGAAGTTGCAAGGTCTGCAAGTGTAGATATGGTGGTCAGTAGTTGCAGATATATGGAGGTTGCAGCCTGCACAGTTGATGGGAGGTTGGTTTTGAAGATGAAGGTTTGATGATAAGTGAAGAAGATGAGGGTGACTTGAATGCTGGATCTGTGTGCTGTGCATCAACTTCCCCATATCTCTGTGTAATCGATGATATAGATAGAAAGGAATAATATTATTATAGGCAGGAGGCAGGAGGAAGAAGAAGGAGGGGTTGACTTTGAGAGATGAAGCCAAGTCAAAGTAAACAAGTAGTTGTTAATGTTGGGTTCCGAGAAATGGTCAGTGGGACCATTTCATTTGTCAACCATACCTGCCAACACGGATTCATGAATTAAAACGAGTCGACATTAACTAATTGGTTTCGACTTGGTCCAAATCTCAAAAGTATAGATTTACCAAGTTTAAATCAAATGAGGAATAAAAATCTTATTGTGATCATGGAGGTTTAAATACGTTGATTTCAGGTTATTTGCAAAACAGGTGATCGTCCTGAGATTAGCCGGCTTATATAACGGGTTGGATATTCATGTTAATAAAAAAAAAGTCGACATTCCCACATTTCGATTAAAATTAAAAACAATGCCCCTAATTTAATGAATGAGTCAACTACCCTTGGTGGCAAACAAGGACCAAAACATTACAAAAATGCATACTGTAGGAGCTATTTTGAAAGAAAAAAAAACTTTGGGGACCAAATCCAAAACAATTAAAACGACAAAGACCAAAGTTGTAATTAATTTAAATTATTTTAATCTTATATTATATTTTTTTAATAGAAAAAATGATGATATACAGTTTCAAAACTCATCCATCTTTGATTATTAGTAAGTTATCCATGCACGATGCTGCGTGAAGCATGCCGAAGTTGAAGCCTAGAACTCGAAATAACTATTTTGTTTTACATTTTTTTTTATTTTTCATCTATGATTTTTTATGGTATATAAATGCAAGTTCGTCATATTCTATTGGTGAATTGAGATTTTGAGTCCATGATACTTCTTATTGCCAAATTGATAGTGGTGAATGGCGACCAAACTAAGCCACCATCATATATATGATCGTTGTCGTATTGAAATGACTGTTGGTGCAGATGAGGTGTATATGTAGTTTTCTATGGACAAAATGGGGTTGGAGGGGGCATAAAATTAAGGAGACCATGGGTTACTTCAGTTCCCCTTGTTACGAAAATCTTTTGTTCATGCTTAGAATATAAGTTCAAGTGAGCATGAGCCTTTGTCATTTGTATTTTGAAATTCTGTTGTTGAACTTGTTTAGGATTTTATGATGATAAGTAAATGCGTAGGACAACATTTGGAACATTATGTAATTGCAAGACTCGTTAAATTATGTAAAGCAATGTTCATAAGTTTGTTAATGCTCTTGGTGTGCTCGGGTGTTAAATGAAGAAGATGAACATTAAAGAAACTATTGGATAATGAAATAAATTAAATGGACGAAGGGCAAAAAGACTAATATTGTTTGTCTGTAGATGACGTTGTTGTTGTTGGTTGTTCTTGATATATGAAATAGAGATGGAGGCACGGGGGAGAGAAATAAGATCGGACGTAGTGAGAGGGGAGAGCAATTAGGGCAGGACGTGGGAGATAACGCGGTCGAGAGGGGGTCACACAATTCAGGATATTTGCTTTAAAGCTTGTACACTGTGCAAAAAAAATGGGTACCTCTTTATTTTCAACAGGTAATCGTTTAAGCTGCTTATATATCTATACTATCTTATTAAACAAATTTAACAAAAGTCTTGAAGTCTTAAAATACCAAATGACCAAGATATCATTTATACTTTTTCACTTTTTCATCCTCTCCTCTCCTCACATACACTCACCCTCTCACAACCGATTTTTTTTTAATTATAATTTTATATTTACACTTTATACCCTTATAATTAGTTAATTAATTTACTTTACGTCCTTTACTTTTAAATGTTTCATTTTAAACTTTTATCAAATTAACATACATAATCGTATATCAATTAAAACATGTTTAAAAAATACATTTTTATTTTAACAATTTACACCATTATAATCGCCTCGTTAATACCTTCGAAATGAGTCCAATATTGAATAGTTTTTTACTTAATTATATTATTATATATTATATATATACTATGAAAAAATATTTTTAATATTTACGATTTATACTCTTATAGTTTTTTTTTATATACATACTATATATTTTGGGGTTAGGCTGTCCAAATTGCACTGTATAATATATTTTGAATTAATATGTTCTTGAGTTTTTTTGAAATAAATATAAATATATATATATATATATATATATATATATACATGTATTAATTCAACCTTGATCTGAGTTTCTGGACAAGAAAGAGGGTAAGCAGTTGAAATTTCATTCTAAAACCCATCTTTTTTGGTCTTTTCATGACTTATGATCTATCAAATTTGTAGTTTTCTTTATTGGTTTTGAGTGTTTTTCTTAAAACTCAAGTTTCTTGATTCTTTGCTCTTGGTGTAAATCGAACACATTTATAGAGTCGTTTAAATATGTTGGATTTTAAATATATTGAATTTTAAACTGTTATACAATTTTTTCCATCGATAGTCTATAAGGAACCATAACTATTGTGTTATTCAAATTGTATTAATATGTAAAGACCAAGTGTAACATATATCATCGTTAAATCTTATCTTATAAAACCAGTGGAACTTCAAAATCGTTAAAATTCATAGCTCCCGCCGCATTGCGCGGGTACATAACTAGTGTGTGTATATATATATATATGTGTGTGTGTGTGTGTGTGTGTGTGTGTGTGGGTGTGTGGTACAGATAGGATAGACGGATTAATTTGTAGGTATTCATGATATTTAATAGTGTATTCAATATTATGCTTAATTTGAAGGTATTGACGAGACAATTATAATAATGTAATCTGTAAAAAATGAAAATTATTTTTTAAATGCATTTAATTTCATATACGATTATTAACTTATAGTTAATATTTCATAAATGTTTGCATCTTAAAAATAAAAAAGTTTTAATTCTTGCATTTAAGTGCTTTATAAAAACAATTTAAAGCCATCGATATAGAAGTGGGCTGGGCTGGATTCTATGGGCCTATGGCCTTTGTAAACACGTAGATAAATAAGAATGTTGAGAGAGGATCTAGGGACCAAATCCGTTTGTAAAAACCATCTACAAATCCATCTATCAGTGTGACAGCGGTGAGATATCAGCCAGAGAAAATGGACGGGATGTGATGCTTGAGACGAACGATAGATGTTCTAGACTGTAAATTGGTCTGGGATATGATACCAGAGACGGAGTGGTTGCTACTTCGGAGATGAATGGAGATGGTTGTCGGTGATGGTTGATGCTTCAGATATGGTAGCGTATGGGGGAGAAGATGATGAAAGGAGGTAGATAATTTGGTGATCCAGATCAGATATGTTGGGGATATGCTAGGAATACGATGGTGTGTAATTTGAAAGATTTCAAATTATAAGGTTGCCCCTGAGCTTCCAATTTAGATATGAGATCATGTAGCATTTTCCCAAGTTTTACAAAAATGCCATCCTCTTTACTAACCCTTGATTAAATCCATTTGGATGATTGAGATTGATCATCACGGTACTCAAACTTGTTTTTGGTTCTCACATGATTTAACTAGGGTTGTAAACGAACTGAACGAACACGAACAGATGCTTGTCCATGTTCGTTCGTTTAACTTAACCGAACAAACCAACGAACATGCACATAAACGAACGAAAATATTTGTGTTCATGTTCGTTCATTTAGAAATCAGGTGTATTCGTGTTTGTTTATGTTCGTTCGTTAACATGCTAAACGAACGAGCTAAACAAATACAAACGAACAAGCCTAAATGAATATAAACAACCGAATACTACAACTTGTAAATTGTTTCATCTAGAGGCTAGGGTTTTAGGGGAAATGTGAAAAGAGTAAAAATTTCAAATAAGACAAAATGATAATAAAATTTAAATCTAAATAAATTCTAAAAAGTTAACACTTAAATAAATATTATTTAAATTCAAACTAAATAAATAAAAGATTATATATTAAATTTAATATATAAATGAACAATAAACGAATGAATATAAACGAACGTAATTATGAACATAAACAAACGAACGAGACTTTTGTTCATATTCGTTCGTTAAACTAAATGAACAAAAAAGTTTGTTCTTGTTCGTTCATTTGTTAAATAAACGAACATAAATGAACTTCCCTCCGAACAGTTCAGGAACGGTTCGTTGAACGTTCGGTTCGTTTACAACTTTAAATTTAACCCCTCTCTATAATATATCATTTTTACAAATATATCCTTTAAAATGAAAATTTTAATAGTTTCGTAACTTTATAATCTTTTTTAAGAATCACCTCCTTTTTTCCTCACATTTGGGGGTAAGTTTGTCATTATTTTTTTCCCTTTCTTTCTTTTTTAAAATGTCCAAAATAAAAGTTTCCATTTTTACTCTTTTTTTCGTAATAAAGGTTTTGAAAACACAACGATAATAATGACACACATTTCTAAAATGTTGTTTGTTTACTTATTAATAGTTCCATTAAAAAACAGTATTTAAATCGTTAAGAGATGAATTTTGTTTGCCAAAAAAAGTCAGTCTCTTAATGATTTAAAAACCATCTGAATGATTTTGTATCATCTACCTCCTTTGCCCATTCAGTCTCCTAATTTCATTGTAAAAGATTATCAAATAATTATATTTTATTTTACATTATATCATAAGAGCCTCTTAATTATTCTAAATCAAACCGTTCAATAACTGTCAAAAAGCTATAATTATTTTCTATACTTACATGCAGGAACATTCTTATAATGTGTGCTAAGAAACTCGAATCTTTGTTTTTTCTTAAATTTATGAAAAAACAAATGTAAAAGTAGATGAGACCGAAATAAGTTATGTGGGATGTTTATTCAGACCTTTTATGCAGCTTTTCATGTTTTTGGAGGCTTCCCCCTTGGCTTTCTGCAACAAAAAAGCCACCATCCAAAGGGAAAAAAGGGTAATATAATTTTGAGTAAACTACAAATTTGGTCCCTGTAGTTTATCAAAACTAACATTCTTTGTCCATGAAATTTTAAAATTATAATATGGCCATCAGGACTTGTAAAAATGTCTGTATTTACTCCCTCGTTAGAAGGTTTGTTAAATGAAGAACATTTTCATTATTTTATCAACTTTTTTTTATCATTACCCAATCAAAATCGATTTTATAATTTTGGTCCCTATAATAATTAATTAGGTAAAAGACCAATAAAATTGATTAAAAAAAGAAAAGAAAATGCCCTTTAGTTAATGTATTTCTTAAACGACCGTTATAAGCAAGGTTCTGCAGCTATAGATTTGCATTTTTACCCAATATGGGAAGAGTCATTTTTTGAGGATAAACTATGCGTTTTTGAAATTACATTAATAGATATATAAGTTGAAACATCTCCCAATTGTGTTTCAACTATTGGTAAAGCGGTCATACGAATAAGAGAAACTCTGTTATAGCCATTTTTGTATCAAATACAGACGTTTTTACAAACCATGATGACCATATTATAACTTTCAAACTGAAGGGACGAACAATGCTATTTTTTTAACAAACCACAGGGACCAAATGTCTATTTTACTACGTAATTTTCATTGGAAAACCGTTTACCCAAATATACGTTCTATTTAACAACTCTCTTTCAACATTTTTAACCATTCCTTTTCTTTCATATCTTTTGGCTTTTAATTTTTCCGATTATGTACTGATTGTCTGTGTAAAGTTAATTTGAGATGGGTTATGTTTAATGAAGTGTATCACAATGTGCATTTTTTAAAGTGTATCAGGTAACGTTGCTTTATGAATTATCCTATGTACTTATATAAATATATAATTAAAACTTTTTTAAAATTTTGGTAAAATATATTTCATTTATAATAAAATTGGGTTATGTGATTAAAATACTCGGAAGTTGGTGATTTCAAGATTTGGGGAGTTAGAATTAATAAAATAAATCCGTATTTATTTCCCCCATAAACTGCTCCCTTCGCCTTCTGGAGCCTAAAATAGAAAACGTGGTGGGGTTCTTCATTGGCTCAATGGCTCCTCCTCACAAACGGCTATTTTCCCATTAAATATAAGTACTTTAGATTTCTAACATATAAAAAATATGAGTTGGGTTCACGTGAGACCAGTCTGTTTTCGTAAGATCCGTGAGATTTTTTTTACACTTGAAACTTCATAGCAAAACACTGTAAATATAAAAGAAGCTAAACGTAGTATCAAAACCTCAGTTTCGGATTTTGGATACGTAGATAATTTATTACCCGACCTTATAAATTATTAAACTATGTTATCCATTCAACCTGATCAACAGAAGCAATACAAATATAGATTCAGTTAAGATTAAAACCAGATAAAAAAACTAATAAAACGTATTGTCATAACTAAATAATGTAACCATGAATTAAAACGAAAAACCGAACCGACACGTTACTTTCTGTTTCCCGTTTGTTTAACATCTTGTTTGCATTTCTCTCCAATTTATCGAGATATTTTGAGGATTTTCACAGCTAAATGGTCTCTCTTTCTGGGTTGGGTTTTCCTTTTCCATTATGATCCCTCGTGGGGTTGTATATAAAACCTTTCCATGGACCCCTCTGGTTGGAAAAGATCAGGACCGTTGGTTTAGATTACTCAGCTAGGGATGTTGGTGTCATAATGATTTAGTCAAAATTGTTGGTGGTTGGTCAGATAAATCAAGATTCTTAACAAATAATTGGCTACATTGCACTTCATTGTGTTTATTTATGATTGGTATGTTGTTAAATCCCTTGTAAACATTAATTTAATCGAATTGGTTTTTCTATTTTTCATTAAATTATTTCCAACATTTTATTTTGAATATTATATTTTAATATTATAATCAATGTAATAATATTCGAACGTCTAAACAATCCATTCGTTCTCACCCTTCACCACTGCCATTCATCGCCACCATCCCCTTCACAGTCCACTCTACCAACAATATCCACTACGTCACTATTGCTCACGCCCCTTCCCCTCCCTCGTGTAACTTCCATCCTCTTCTCCTTCGGTCTTCAACTCATTCGTCCTTCCCTTCCTTGCGGTGACGTTGACGCCCCTTTTCTCGTCATGACTTCAATGTTAGCCAACTCCCTCTTTTTTTCCAATCATCGGAGTGAATTTTCCTAACTAAAAAATGTTTTCTTTTTCGACGTCAGTCATATTTTGTCCTTTTTTTTTTGGAAAATATGACATAAATGAGTTATGAAATTGATTACCAAGTATGTTTAAATAGACCCTTTATTTAAATATAGTAGATTAAATTTTCTGTTGTGAACTCCCATACCCATACATGCTTGTATGTTAAACAATATTCTCAAAAATTAGAAAGAAAAAGCCAAGAAAAAAGAAGAAAGATTATTATTATTAAATTAAACTTGTTATGCGAGCTGACTAATCCCAGGACGATCATCTGTTTTGCGAATAACTCGGAGTCAACGTATTTGAACCTCCATAGCCATAATGAGATTTTTATTTTTCATTAGATTTGAACCTAGGACCTTCTAATATTTTTGACATTTGAAATCAAGCTTAAACTAATCAGACTTAATCCTTATGGTTAAGAAAGAAAGATTATTCTATAGTATAGCACCATAAACCCTGTTAGCTCTAAAAAGCAGGAGCTACTATTAATAATCTATATTCCCAATGTCTTGTAGGCTGAAACCAAATTGACTTTACCTTTCTTCAATGCTTTCCACCTCTCCAACAAGTCCATCCTCACTCACCCTCTTTCACACACAACTCCTCTCTCTTTCTCTCTCTAAAACCTCCATTACTGTTGCTTCAACCTTTTCTCTCACTGCTGCTCTTCTTGCTGCTGCTCTTCTTGTTGATTCATTTCAGAGGTAAGTGGTTCTTGCCAAATTAAATCTCAAGATTTTCCCATCTCCAACGGTCATATTTTTGGGGGGTTTCTTGAAATGTTGTTGGCTGCTTTTGTTCTTTCAATTTTCTTGATCCTATGCAACTCCCACTTCATAGTTCATGTAAGTTCTTTAAATGATGAAGGGTATACACTTTTGACTTTCAAACAGTCAATTACACAAGACCCTGAAGGGTCTTTAAACAACTGGAACTATTCTGATGAAACCCCTTGTTCATGGAATGGCATTGCATGCAGAGAACAAAAAGTAGTTTCTGTTAGTATTCCCAAGAAAAAGCTCTTAGGGTTTATATCTCCTGTTCTTGGATCTCTTTCTGAGCTCAGGCATCTTAATTTGAGGAACAATAAGTTCATGGGTAGTTTGCCTCTTGAGCTTTTCAGAGCTGAAAAGATTCAGAGTTTGGTTCTTTATGGCAATTCTTTATCTGGGTTGGTCCCAAATGAGGTTAGCAGACTTAATTACCTCCAAACCCTAGATTTGTCAAGTAATTTCTTCAATGGGTCAATACCCATTTCATTGATTCAGTGTAAGAGGTTAAGAAGTCTTGATCTGAGCCAAAACAATTTCACTGGTTCACTCCCAGAAGGGTTTGGAACCAATTTGGGGTTTCTTGAAAAACTTGACCTTTCTTTCAATCAATTCTCTGGTTCTATCCCTAAAGACTTTGGAAACTTGTCTAATTTGCAAGGAACTGTTGATTTGTCTCATAATTTGTTCAATGGTTCAATCCCACCTAGCCTTGGGAATCTTCCTGAGAAGGTTTATATTGATCTCACTTACAATAACTTAAGTGGTCCAATTCCACAAAATGGTGCTCTGGTGAACCGAGGGCCAACCGCTTTCATCGGAAATGGTGGACTGTGTGGCCCTCCGTTGAAAAACCTCTGTTTTCCTGATGATGCTAGCTCACCTTCTTCATTTCCCTACCTGCCAAACACTAATCCATCTGAAATTCCTGAAAAGGGTCGAAAAGGGTTGAGTAAAAGTGGTGTGATTGCGATTATCGTTAGTGATGTCATTGGGATTTGCTTAATTGGTTTGGTTCTATCGTATTGTTACTCAAAAATCTGTCTTTGTGGTAAAAAGACACATGGGTACGAGAAAGGAAGTAAGGGAAGAAACGAATGTTTATGTTTCAGAAAAGATGAATCAGAAACGCTATCCGAGCACGTTGAACAATACGATCTTGTAGCATTGGATACACAGTTGGGGTTTGATTTAGATGAGCTTTTAAAGGCTTCGGCTTTTGTTTTAGGGAAGAGTGGGATCGGGATTGTTTATAAGGTCGTGCTCGAAGATGGAATTACTTTGGCTGTTAGACGATTGGGCGAAGGAGGTTCTCAAAGGTTTAAAGAGTTCCAAACCGAAGTTGAAGCCATCGGGAAGCTAAGGCATCCAAATATTGTAACTTTGAGAGCTTATTACTGGTCTGTGGATGAGAAATTACTCATCTATGATTTCATTCCGAATGGCAATCTTGGCACTGCAATTCACGGTATTTTTTCTAACGTAAATTATGGCTTAATTCATTCCCTTGTCAGTTATCGGTTCATTTGAACTAATAAGGTCTCACATATTCTCACAATTGTGATTATGATGATGTTGTTTTTAGGGAAGCCCGGCATGCCATCTTTTGTGCCACTTACGTGGCCTGTGCGTTTGAAGATAATGAGAGGAACTGCAAAGGGTCTGGTTTATCTACATGAATTTAGCCCCAAAAAGTACGTCCATGGCGACCTAAAACCGTCAAACATTTTGCTTGATATGAACATGGAAGCCCAAATCTCCGATTTTGGCCTCGGCCGCCTGGCTAACATAGCCGGAGGCGGCACACCGGCACTTCAATCCCATCGAGTTGTCTCGGAAGTTGCAACCACCACCACAACCGCAACTTCAGCGTCAGCTTCAAACATGCATGCATCTTATTACCAAGCGCCCGAAGCTTTCAAAGTGGTGAAACCTTCACAAAAATGGGATGTTTACTCTTTCGGAGTTGTTTTGCTGGAGATGATCACCGGAAAAACGCCAGTTGTGCAGGTGGGTCCGGAGGAAATGGACCTTGTGCACTGGATTCAGGCGTGTATCGAAGAAAAGAAGCCGCTTTCGGATGTTGTGGACCCGGGGTTAGGTGAAGACGCAGATAAAGAAGAGGAGATCATCGCGGTTTTAAAGATCGCAATGGGGTGCACACAAAGTAACCCAGAAAGAAGACCCTCCATGAGACATGTTGCTGATCTCTTGGATAGATTGTCTCAAGATTGAAGAATTGGGTCAGTTTGGCATATTTGGAAAGTGGAAGGGTGTGAAATGTAAATCTGGTGAAATGAGTAGGGGAGAATGTATTATTTTATTTCTTTATTTCTGTTTTTTAATTTTATCTTTTTCATGCATCTTTTGAGAATTTTTATTATTTTTAATGTATATTTCGAAAATCAGATAGTGGTGTTATTTTGTTCTTATGCGGTTATGCCCCAATTTACTTTTTGACTTCTCGGTTTGTGTTTGTCTTGATTTGTCAAAACTCATTAAATGCTTTTATTTGTTTATAAAAATAATTTATTGACTTATTCTGGTATGATACGGTAATAAGCATTTTGAGTGTTTAAATAAACAGTTTATACCGATGTCAAATCAATAATAAGAAGTTTTTAAAAAAGTTAAATCATATTAACTTATAATAAGTTGATAAAGACTTTTGTATAACACCTCTAAATTGTTGTAATACAACTGTTTTTTTAGATAATTGCTGGTTTTCAGGTCAATTTATGTATGTTGATTAATCACTGAATGATTATGAATGGACTCGAATCCAAGTTAATAAAAAATAATAATGATCTAGATACTTAATAAATAAAAACCGATAAATTAATATATTATAGAAAATAAAATGTTTAAAAAATAAAAATAAAAGGTTGAAAAGAAAATTTGGGCATTGAAAATGGGCATGGATCTCTAGAGAGAGACAGGTCCCACAATCCACAATTAACCCGCCATTCATGCCTCAACAATCCATGTTGTTTTGCTATATATATTTTCGTGACTCATTATTCAATCAATTTGAAACACTTTCAGTACATCAAAATTAATTCATTACCTCTTTTATTTTATTGTGTATTTGTTTTACGATATTTATCTTTCGAACTCCAAACCGAAAATATATTATAACATCCAGTAAAGATAAATAGTTACATCCGTGATACCGTTTGGAAAAAGTTGAATCAAGATTTAGGTCGACGAAATGAAATAAAGCCTGAAAAGTGGTAATTTGGACGATTATTTATTTGATTTGGTGCAGTTGTAACAATCAAACTTTCCAGGGAAAATGCAGGCTTCATTAATTGGCTTCATGCGATAAATTTCAACATCTCGTGGACTAATTGGTGTGGGGGGTAAGATCTTGTTGGTTAGCTCCTTGTTGTCGTTGTGGTTTTCTCGTTGTTTTGTTGCTGTGTGTTTCTTTCTTTAAAAGGCAGTGGCTGTTCTCCTTTTGTTTCTTTACTTTTGTTTAATATATTACTTATCTTTTAAAAAAATGTAGTAAAACCCAGAAAAAACGAGTTTTATCAATTTAGTTGGGTTGGGTCGTGACCCAACTATCTTGACTTACGGGCTATAAACGTCGACTTCGACCGAAGACGATTGTGTTATTTAACCCATATTTTTGGGTTGAATGGTCAACCAATGTGGTTTACATGCTATGAACATGATCATTGTTTATTGATTAATAAAAGAGTATCTTTTTTTGTCCATTCTTGATGGACGGACATTTACACTTCTTGTATCCGTCTGTCCATTATTCTTCCGTCTTGTTTGAATGAAGAAAGTAGGATAGATAGTGTTTGTTATTATTAAATTATATTTTGTATTTAATAAATCAAATTAAATAATTTTAGGAGTTATTTGGTTGGTTTTCTTAATTAAATCTTGTATGGATAAAATTGTCTGTATGGATTAATATGTCTATATAGATTCAGAATGTTTTTGTTTTGGAAGAGTTTTTTTGTAAATATAAGTAACGTGTTTTTTTTTAATAGGGAGGAACATGTTTGGAAACAAAAAAACTTAACTTTTTGCATTAAAACGTTATACTAAAAACTTATTAAATAAGTCACTTTCTATATATTACCGATTAGTCAGGTAAAATTAATCGAATAAGCTGCGATTACTATTTATATATTTACATCCACTACCAAAGATATGTTGTTATCGTTAAATTATATCTTAAATGTTTGATCAATATTTTCAATTTTTTATTAAATTATATTTTGTTAAACAAGATTTTGTTTTTTTAAAGAAAAAGTTCAGAAAAACTCAATAAATTATTCTATTTTGAATCATTAAGTTCATGAATTATTTTCTTGAATGAAAAACCATTAAAAAATTTCGTTTTGAATGATTAAATCTCTAAATTATTTTTTTAATGAAAAAATTATTAATCTTTTTTATTTTGAATAATTAAATTTCTGAACAATTTTTTTGTTGTTATAAATAAACCATCAAACTTTTAAAAATTGGTTACCTACATATATTTGGGTTAAAATTATGTAAGGAACCAATTTTTATAAGTTCGATGGTTTATTTAATTGAAAAAAATATTTAGGGACTCGATCATTCAAAATAAGAAAGTTTAATGATTTTTTTTCATTTAAAAAAATAGTTCGAGGACTTAATAATTCAAAATAAGAAAAAATAATTGTTTTTCATTCCAAAATACGATTGAAGAATCTAATCATTCAAAATGAAATAGTTTATTGATTTTTTACTGAACTTTTTGTAAACACTTTCTAAATAGGTCTTAGCATTTTGAGAAAGAACTATTTAAGAATTTGTGAAAATTTAAAAATGGCATCGAATAATATTCTTTTGGATCTGCCTCTGTATGTTCTTGTTTGCTATAGTAATTGAAGAAATTTGCCTATGACGTGTATCTCGATTGACAAATGAATGGGATGATTATTGGTTTGATACCAGATCCCCCTTGTTAGTCTCAGTCGCTGAGTGAGTCAAAAAATGTCTTCTCATATTTGTTTCTTTGAAGGCATGTTCCATGTGAGACCTGTTGAGGTTACCAGTAATTAACTTTTTGTCCAAATTAAAATAATTTATGTCATTAATCTAACAATCATGATTCCATGTCAGTTCTATTTGTCATTCCCCTCTAGGGGTTATGTTGGTAGAGTGTCCGGAAAATAATTTCATTAAAGTGATGTTTGTTTACCTTTCAATAGTTTCATTAAGAGGCAGTCTCTGAATCGTTAAAAGGTGAATCTTGTTTAATAATTTCTTTTTGTCTTTTAATGGTTATGAAACTCTCTGAATAATTTTGTATCATGGGTATCCTTAACCATTCAGCGTCCTAATTTCATTGTAAACAATTACCGAACAATTATATTTCATTTTGCATTATATCATGAGAGTTTCTTAATCATTATGTACCAAATCATTCAACAACTGTCAAACAGGCCCTAATTTACATTTTGTATATTTCAAGTTTTGGTCATTGACAAACACTCTCATTCTAGTTCTATAAATGCGTTTTTTTATTATTGTTTTAAAATGATCATGATATAAGACAAATGTAACACCCTAAAATGATGATAAGCTAAGCTGATGGGCTAGGCCGCAAACCAGTTTAACACTTGATTCTTTTATGTTCTTAACGTGACTTAAGGGTTAATCTCAAAGCTAATTGCATTTAATCACAAGAGTGGTGCCTGAATGGTTTGAGCTTGAGTTTCAAAGGTCAAAAGTATCTGAAGTTCTCAGGTTCAAATCCAATGAGAAATAAAGATCCCTTGTGACCACGTAGGTTCATATGCGGTGACTCCGGACTACCCCCAAAGTAGATGGTCATCCTGGAATTAGTTGGCTCACATAGCGAATTGGATATTCAGGTTAATAAAAAAAACAAGTGCATTAAATTTTCTTACGTCTTTGAAGTCTCTTTTACTTAAGGCAATTTGCGTTAAAAAATGTTTTTTCATTCGACTAATATTTTACAGAAAGTATTTTTAAAAATACAAATCTTTATTAAACATATTTTATCTACTAAAAGGATATTCGTGCAATGCAACGAAATACATCTTGATTTTAATGTTTCGTTTGATTCTGTCTCCATTAACGTTATAATACGATTTTATGTGGTACTGAAAAAATGATAATGTTTTTATTTTTGAATAAAATATAAATTTAAATATATTATAAAATTTTGTAAAAAATATATTAATATTAGTATCAAATCAACCATTTAAAAGTTTTTTTTATGTAATTTATTTAACTCAATTTTTATAATAATTTATTCAGGTTTAATAACGATTTAATTTATTTTTTGGTTTTAAATATAATTTTTTATAAAAATAATAATTAAGTATTCTGTTAGAATTTAATGGTTATCCTAAGTATATTTTAAAATTTTTTTATCTTTAAAATGAGATGTTTATCATGTATTTGATTATGTTTATTTATAGTTAGTTACATAAATTCAAAAAATAGATCTTTAATAAGTTGTATTTATGCACAATTTACTTGTAATCTTGATTTTTAAGTGATATGCATCAATAAATAGTATTTCATATAGAAAAAATAATTTTTAAGAGTTTTTATCAAATATTTTATAATATTATATAAATAAACTCTTAAATATATTTTTTCAGACTATAGACTAAATATAAAAATTTCAAATTATATATCTTTTTTAACATGGTTTTCAGAAAAACGATTTCCAAAATAATGACTAAATAGAAGTACATTTCTAAATGTAATTTGCCTCCCAAAGTCACTCTTAATATTTTAAAGATTAAAGTGTCGTTTACCTAAATACTTACCCGATAAGCGTTTATCGGTAAGAGTTAACACTATAATCTATTTTATCAGATTAGATTGTAGTATATATTAAAACGGTATCGTATGCAACAATTTATCCGATAAACGTTTATGCGAGTAAGAATCATCATCATTACTTATCGGGTAAGACTCTTTATCCTTATCATCGTTCTTACCGGGTAAGATTTACAGCCCTTGCCATGTGCATCAGGTGAAGAAAGTTACCCGATCCACACTTACCGGGTAAGTATTTAGTAAACGGCCCCTAAATAAAAAATCAGTTTTGTTATTTTCTTATATCTGTTAATCAATTGTAATATTTCGTAAGATCTGATCATGTAGCAACTAACAAATATAACGACATTATTATACGTGGACATTTCTTGTTTTTCTAGTTGGTATATTAACAGATTTATTTTTTAGATATTGAAGTGTGCTATTATAAACGTAAAAAAAAGTATATTTTTCAATAAGGGTAGAAAGAAAATTTAACTAAGGGGCCGTTTATGAAACACTTATTTGGATAAGTTTTTATCAAGTTGCATTACTTTACCGAATGAGTA